CAAGGATTACATGGCCCGCTTTAAAGCCGTGCTGGCAGAAATGGACATCCACAAAACATCTACTATTGGAGCTCTACAAAACGGGTTGTGGCATGAGACACCATTCAGAACCGACCTAGTCTTAAAGAAGGCTCTCACAGTCGAAGACGCAATGCATCGAGCAACTCGGTACATGGCACTCGAAGAGGTCCGCGCGACCAACTTTAAAAAAATATTCTCCTGCCAAACCACCGACTTCTAAGGCCAAGACAAAAGAGCCTCGACAGCATCTCGATAAAGATTATAAAGACAACAATCCCATATTCAAGCCCAATTCCAGAACAAGAAGTGGCCGTTCAAGTTTGTTCGCGGAAAGGACCCCAAAAAAGACACTAGATCATTCTGCAACTACCACCAAATTTACGGTCACTCGACCTACCAATGTCGGCAACTGAAAGAACAGTTAATGGCTAAGTTCAGCAGCGGTGAGGTCAAGATCGATCTACCGCAAGGGCGGTCTATAGAGGGCCAGGGGCAACATGAGCAACGACCGAATAACAACGTCGATATGTCATTCCCTCCGAAGCGGTCTAACAACGACAAGGGGCAGGGTCAACCTTCCTCAAAAAGAAAGATCTACATGATCATGGGTGTTGGGGTCAGATTTCATCCGCTCAACGTTGAAGTCCAAAGTTATGCAAGCACAGCGCATAGACATAGAATCGCATTAACATACATATATTATATGATTTTCCAAAGCTATTTCCTAACAAGAAGATGAAGTTTTTCTCGTTTCCTAAGTCTTCTACGACCAAGAAGGAGGCCTTCTGAGTCCTCTCTACTCGCAGCAAAGTCACAATGCCAGTGAAATGCAGTGCCAGCGAAGTGCAGAACCAGCGATGTCACACTACCAGCGATGACACAGTGCCGACAACGACACTGGCCACCGAAGACCTGCCAGAGTAACGACAAAGGCCAGAAGGTTCCCTGCACTAAAGCTTGGTCCAATGGCGAAGCCCACTTTGACAAAACCGACATAAGGAAAAAGAAATCTGCGAAGACTTAGGAAAGTGATGATTATCTTTAGAAAATATGTCTAGCCGACTTAGGGAGCTATATATATAAATGTACAAAACCTTGTAAGAGGTATCCGCAACTTTATTCACAAAAGCTTAAACAGTAATAACAAACGTTTCTCTTTGCTCATCATTTCTTTCGTAGCTTAACATAGAAATCTCTGTTTCCTCACGAAACCCTTACAAATCTAATTGTGCTAGTTTCGACTCTCACAATTTGACACTGACTCTCACAATTTGACACTGTATAAGGGGAATTAGAGACTTTCTCACACAAAAAAGCTACTTAACCCACTAGATCTAAGAAGACGAGCGGCGAAGAGAATAAATCAAGCAGCATCGGCTAAGAGTCCTCGTCTCATAGA